CCTGTCCCTCAGAGTAGATGATGAGACACATAGGCGTGCAGCTCTTGGGAATGACGTAAAAGGAAGTAGATAGTGTTAAATTGTGTAGTAGTGGTTTTAGGTGCTGAACGATTAATTCAGGAGAAGGGGGAGCAGTGAAGACTGTTTAACCAGTGACTATCTAGGAATCTGGCTGAAGTTGAAATAAGCCTGAAAGACTATAGGATTCTTTTTTGTCTCTGGATGGCACAGCACATGAAGAAGGGTCTGGCTTTGGAGCCCATCTCCATCCCTCTCTGACTGTGGGCGGCTGACTTAACCGTGCTGTATCTGTTTCAGCATGGGCAAGCTAGGGAGAAAATATTTGCACCTACTTCATGGGGTTGATTTAAGGATTAACTAAGGTGATGTACGTAAAGCTCTTTACATACGTTATACAAACAGCACCATGTGATCAATATTGGATAGCTAGCATTATTAATTTATCAACCATACCGTTGATTTATAAAGCAGAAAATTATTGCATGGTTATCGTTTGTCAGGAACTCCCAGGCCTCCCAATGGCGTCCTCAGCACCTTAACGCTGATTCCCATGGCTTCTGCTTTCATAGGAGATACTTAATCATCGCAATAATAATAATAGCTATAGTGTCCTCAGTCCCTGTTTCTGTGTCAAGCACTCTGCTAGGTGCTTTGTTACTACATTGCTTTTAATCTTTATTCCATTTTATAGAAGTGCAGAGTTTGTGAACCTTGTTCAGGGTCACATGTAGAGTGTCAAGGCTGGGATTTAAATTGTCTGCTTTTTTTTTTTTTTTTCTCTGATTCATGCTGACTCTGGTTACTGTCACCCTAGACCCATTATGTCCCAAATTGAACTTGGCTTCCTCAAAGGGCGTTGCCTCCCAGCTTCAATCAGGGGTGCCACCATTCTCCTTATTTCCTATGTCTGGACGACTGGGAACCTCCTGCTTCTCCTTCAAGCCTCTATATCTGGTTAGTCACCAGGCTTTTCGTTCAGATGCATCCATTCCTCTCTGTCTCCCTTACCTGGCCAGCCCCCCCATTGACTGGGGCTTGGACTTGTTGCCAGCATGTGTTCCACTGCACTAGCCACGAGAGGTAAGGTTTTACAGTACACTTGGACGGGCTTCATTAGATTTTGATAAAGCATTCTGAAGTTTTCTAAGAGGTAAAGCACAATAGTTTGTTTTTGCTGTAGCTGTTTGTCAGTGGTAGAAGCTCAGAATGGTCTAACTGCAGTGGTGCAGGACCGTAAGCTGCTGTGATAACCTCTCTTTCCCTGGGGAAAGTGTACCAGGAGGGAACTACTCTATCCTGTTTTTAAGGGTAAAACCCCTTTTCTTTAGCAAATGGGACAATTGGATATATTCACATGCAAACAAATGAAGCTGAATACCCCTTTTGTGATACACAAAAATGAACTAAGAATGGGTCAATGAGCTGAACCCTTAAAACTCTGAAAACTGAGAGGTAAATCTTAATGAACTTGGATTTGGCAGTGGAATCCTTGCTGTTACACTAAAAGCATGACCAACAACATAAAAAGCAGATAAGGTGGACTTCCTCTAAGTTAAAAGCTTTTACGGACACTGTCAGGTAAGTGAAAAGACAGCCTATAGAAAGAGGAAAAATATTTGCAAATCATATATTTGATTAAGGGTTTGGTACCCAGAATGTATATAAAAAAGTCTTATAAGTCAAAACAAAATTCATTTCTTGAAAGAAGATATACAAATGGCAAACAAGCACATGAAAGGAGGCTCAGCATCATTAGTCATTAGGGAAATGCAAGTCAAAACCACAGTGAGATACTTCTCCACATCCGCTAGGATGGTTATAATTTTAAAAAAATAAAAAGGAAAATAAGTGTGTTGAGGATGTGGTGAAATTGGAGCCCTCACACATTGCTGATGGGGATGCAAAATGGTGCAGCTGCTGTGGAAAACAGCAAACATAGAATTACCATAATAACTTAGTAATTCCACTCCTAGGTACATATCCCAAACCTGAAAACAGGCCCTGAAACAAATAGATGTACCTATGTGTGCTTAGTGGCAGTACATCATAGTAATCAAAAGGTGAAAACAGCTCAAAAGTCTGTCGAGGACTGATAGATAAACAAATTGTGGTATATACATACAATGGAACATTAGTCAGCTATAGGAAGGAGTACCATGTGGGTACAAGCTATAATCTGGATGAATCTTTTTTTTAATTTTTATTTATTTATTAAAGATTTTATTTATTCATGAGAGACACACACAGAGAGAGGCAGAGACACAGGCAGAGGGAGAGGCAGGCTCCATGCAGGGAGCCCAATGTGGGACTTGATCCCAGGACTCTGGGATCACGACCTGAGCCAAAGGCAGGCGCTCAACCACTGAGCCACCCAGGCACCCCAATCTGGATGAATCTTGAGAACATTACACTAACGAAATAACTAGGTGTGTCATCTATCACATAATTCCATTCACATAGAATATCCACCATAGGTAAATCCATGGAGATAGCACATTGGTGGCTGCTAGGGGCTGGGTAGAGGGGAGATGGGGAATGTTTGCTTATGAGTATGGATTTCCTTTTGGGGGTGAGGAGAAATGTTTTGGAACTAGAAATAGAGAGAGGTAGCCGGGATTGCTAGCTGGCTTCCTTCCGATTACAGCCTCTCCTCTTTGCTGAGGTCAGGACCTCAATGCCAGGGATTTCTAACTTCGATGCCTCCCGGGGTCCACCATATGGGGATGCTTTTTTGAAGTCTGCTGGATGTAAGGCAGCAGGGTTGGTGGGGATTAGGTGGAACTGGGCTGGATCTGCCCCAACGCCGTTCGTATTCAGGCATATCTTTCCTGGGCTGATTCTTGCCCCATCTCCATCATTCTGCCGCCCTCTTACCCATCTGACAGACTTATATATTTAAAACATTATCTTCATGGTGCCGCTCATTTTCTAAAAATCCATTTCCTATAATAGAACCTAAACTTCTTTGCTTCCCCTTCCAGAACCTGTGGAAGCTCAGCTGGTTCCATACGTATCATGAAACTGTTATCTGTCCTCCCACTCACCTGGTCCCAGCACCTGGAGTCAGGGGTGACAAGACCAGACCCTATGGGCTGTATAAGGGGATGGGCTCGCTGTGATTCTTTGGGCTGCTTAGAAATGGTCAGCAGCTGGTGGTTGCCTCTTTACAGGGAACGGTGGGTTTCCGTAGTGCCACTGGCCCAGCAATTTGCATGCATACTTGTGTGTTGTCTCTGCTGAGATGGAGAGAGGGGCACAGAAGAATCTGGAAAGATTTTTGTTACTCAATGAGATGGCAGTTTTTTTTTTTTAGATCCGGTCAGCTCAGAGCAGGGAGGGGTGCATCAGGGGAGTCGAAGAGGGTGTGGAGGAAGGAGACCAAGTCCATTAGATCTAGGGAGTGGCTGGCATTATTTTCTTTTGTGCTTCCAGCTCTGTAGCTCCTTGTAATCCCTCTTTACTGCTGATTTTCTGAGAAGCACGTAGGACACGGAGATCTTTGGTCTACATCCTTCCAATGTGTAACAGTTCAGTGGATATTTACAGACTGGGGGCCGGAGGAGAAATGTACAGTGTGTGACTTGAGGGACCTGTGTAAGGCTGTTGCCCTAAAAGGCACCCCCAAGCTCCTCCTTGGTACCCAAAGTACCACCATCACAGTTCCTTTCTTTAAATATTGGAAGAGTTTGAGCTCTCCGAGAATCTTAAATTGCAAACACCTCTCAGAGAGGTAAGAGCCCCTCAGTGGGAGTCAGGGGAGAATCAACCCAGGAAGGGTGTAACCCAGGACACGTAGGGCTCAGAACTAATTTTTTTCATTGTTTACCTAGACAGAGTGGCTGGAGGAACTGAGTCAACCTTTTTTTTAGTTGTTATTCTATATTCAATGGATTCCTTTCCCCACCCTCCCCATTTGGACTTGAACAGCAGGGGTGGGGAGAGACTGCTTCTTCCTTCTCTGAAATCCTGAGTATAGAGCTCTGAATTCCAGGCAGTTCAGTGTCCAGCCCATAAGAGGTTGTGCTTGCATGACACCTTCAGAACCATCCTAGGTTTGCACACGTCCACGTCACAGTTCCTTGGCTTTGCTTACGGCACATTAATCAGTTAGCATTTTTGCTCTTTTGAAGAAGGCTGGCTCCTGCAAGGGGACCAGTCTCTGGAACCGTCCTGTAGGGGGGGTGGCTGCCTCAGCTACCGTCCTGGAGAGCCAAGATGGCTCCACACTGTGGTGCTTCGGCGTTAGAACTTGGGAGACAGCCCCAGAGGATAACTGGCTCAGCGCACCAGTTTTTTCTTCTTGGGCCATATCCACAGAGAGACTCATGGGTGTGAACGTGTGTGTACCCTCTGACTTCTCCAACTTGACAACCAGTTCTCAATGACTGGGGGCGAGTTCCCAAATTAAGGAGAAATCTCTGTGCCCAAAAGACATGTTTTCCTATAGGCTTAAGTGAAGTGGAAACTATCCAGGCACTGTCTGAAACCTTGAAAATCCACCATTCCTTGTGGTCTGAGAGTGGTGGGCCAGGGGTGCCCAGACAGACAGGAAGCCCAAGTAGCCTCTCCTCAGAAGGGTCAGCTGTGACCTCACGGCTCCTTCCATAGGCGTGAATGGGCCATACGCTGTGAGGGTTAGGAGAGCAGGCTCTTCAGTCCGGCTGCTGTGTTTCACTCCTAGCTGATTCATGGGTGCTTTATCTCAGTTTTCTCGTCTTGTAAAAAGGATATGGCAATGGTACCTACCTCATAAGGTTGTTGTGAGTTAAAGATAATACCTATCAAAAAGACTTGGCACAAAAATGGTTGCATTGTAGGTGCATCTTACCAGAAATGATGGTTGCTACCTTCAGACTACTGTAGCTGCACGGGCAGCCTGAGGGAGAGGACGGGAGTCTTGCAGGAGGGCTCTGTATTCAGTGGTCTTCTTGTGATTGATGCAGACTTTCCTGTCTCTTCTGTGTCCTTTCCTTGCCCAGTATTGATCCTCCAGAAGGTGGAGAATGGAGACCTGAGCAACAAGATTCTGAAGATCACTGATTTTGGCCTGGCTCGAGAATGGCACCGGACCACAAAGATGAGCGCTGCAGGGACATATGCTTGGATGGCACCCGAGGTCATTCGTGCCTCCATGTTTTCCAAAGGCAGTGATGTGTGGAGGTAAGGTGCAGAGGTGCAGGGGCAGTGCTCCCCAGATCTGTTTTGGCTGCACACACGTTTCAGGACTCGGAGAATTGAGGATGGGTAGACTCCCAGGCACCCCACACTGGTCTAAGTGACCCTTTCAGAACAGTCTATAGTAATTCCCAGGTTGCCATGGGACCGTTTCTTTTTTTTTTAATTATCCTTTTTTTCATTTGTTTTTATTGAAGTTCAATTTGCCAACATATAGTATAATACCCAATGCTCATCCCATCAAGTGCCCTCCTCGTTGCCAATCACCCAGTTACGCCAACCCCCTGCCCACCTCCCCTTCTGCAACCCTTTGTTTCCCAGAGTTAGGAGTCTCTCATGGTTTGTCTCCTTCTCTAATTGTTCCCCTCCTTTCCCTTATAATCCCTTTCACTATTTCTTATATTCCCCATATGAGTGAAACTGTATGATTCTTTTTTTTATATATAAATTTATTTTTTTATTGGTGTTCAATTTGCCAACATATAGAATAACACCCAGTGCTCATCCCATCAAGTGCCCCCCTCAGTGCCCGTCACCCAGTCACCCCCACTCCCCGCCCACCTCCCCTTCCACCACCCCTAGTTTGTTTCCCAGAGTTAGGAGTCTCTCATGTTCTGTCTCCCTTTCTGATATTTCATGGGACCGTTTCTAATGCCTTCATCTACCTAATGTCCCTTTAGTGCTGTGGCTGGTACCACCCTGTGTGTTGGCAATTGCTGTGTAGTAAAGACCAGCAGATCCCACGAGCAATGTGCATTCCTGTCTCTGCCTGTAGGGTGGTTGAGGGCATCCAGTCATTCCTGGGAACATTCCCCAAGGTCATCCTGGCTGCCTTAGCAACTGTGGCTGTTACTGCTGGACTTGTTCTCACTGTAAGCTCTTTAGCTGACGAGTATTATTTGTCCTATCTCTTGTTTTGGCGGGTTGGAAGTGATCTTTTCTAGTTGTCTGGTTAACCTTCTAGTCAGGACTCTTCTGTTGAATATTGATACAGAAATTGGAAAAGATGGGTCTCAAGCATGTACCCAGAGCTGCAGAGACACAGATTAGATGAACCACACCCCTAGTAAATGTCAGCACCATAGGTCATAAGGACATGGTTCTAAAAATCTTGTCCATAAATAGATAGATAGTTAGATGAAAGAAATCTTGTCCTTGCTGATGGGAGGATGAGCTTCTACAGGGTATGCATCCCCTTGGCTATGAGGTAGTAACATCACCATGGTATACCAAAAGAAAGGACTGTAGGTTGTCATTGTACTTAGTCTATGAAGTTGTTTCTTCCTGATGAGTTATAAAGTGAGCTTGTGTGTGTATATGATGAGAGTATGTATTTTATTTTTTTTAATATTTTATTTATTTATTTATTTATTTATTTATTTATTTATTTGAGAGAGAGAGGGAGCATGAGCGGGAGGAATAGCAGAGGGAGAGGGAGAGGAAGGTGGAAAGAATCCCAAGTGGACTCTGTGCTGAGTGTGGAGCCTGACACAGGGCTCAATCTCACCACCCTGAGATGATGACCTGAGCTGAAATCAAGAGTCAGGTGCTTACCTGACTGAGCCACCCAGGCATCCCAAGTGTGTGTATTTTAAATAATGGCTTTCTTGAGATATTATACCATATTACAAAGTTTGCCCTTTAAAATGTTTAAGTGAGTGGTTTTTAGTAAGTTTAGCAAATTTGTACCAATCACCATTGTTATTAGTTTGCTAGAGTTGCTGTAACAAATTACCACAGACCTGGTGGCTTTCAACAATAGATATTTGTAATCTGGAGGCCAGAAGCCTGAAATTGGTATCAGCAGGGCTACACTTGCTCCAAAGACTTTAGGGGAGATTCTGTTCCACATAAGGATTCTGAATATTAGGACATGGGCATATCATTTTAGAGCTACCATTCAAACCACCACAACTGCTATCAATTTCCAGAATATTTTTATCACACCAAAAAGAAACCCAATGCCTATTAGCAGTCACTCCCCCTGCCCTCGGCAATTACTAATTTACTGTCTATCTCTGTTTTTGCCTATTATAGAAATTTCATACACATGTAATTATACAGTATGTGGTCTTTGTGACTGGCTACTGTTATCATGTTTTCAAGGTTTATCCATGTTGTAGCATGAGTCAGAACTGCATGGAAATTTGTTTATTCATTCATAAGTTGCTGGACATTTGAGTTGTTTCCACTTTTTGGCAATTGTGAATAATGCTGTTGTGATCATTTTTTTTAAGATTTTATTTATTTATTCATAAGAAACACACACACAGAGAGAGAGAGAGAGAGAGAGAGAGGCAGAGACACTCAATGGGAGTGAGAGAGAGGGAGAAGCAGGCTCCATGCAGGAAACCTGATGTGGGACTTGATCCTGGGTCTCCAGGATCATGCCCTGGGCTGAAGGCGACACTAAACCGCTGAGCCACCTGGGCTGCCCAGTTGTGATCATTTTTGTACAAGTTTTTGTCAACATATTTTCAGTTCTCTTGAGTGTATACGTAGGAGTGGATTTGCCAAGTCATAGGATATTTAACTTTTTGGGGAACCACCAAACTGTTTTTTACCATAGCTATATCATTTCCCACTTTCATTAGCAACATAGGAAGGTTCCAGTTTCTCTGTATCCTCTCAACACTTATTGTATGTCTTTTTAATTATTACTATCCTGTTAAATATGAAGTGGCTTTCTCATTATAGTTTTGGGAGTTTTGGTTTTATTTCCCTAATGATTACTGATGTTGAGCATCTTTTCATGTGCTTATTGGCCATTTGTATATCTTTTTCTGTATAAATGTCTATTCAAATCCTTTTCCAATTTTAAAATTGGGATATTTGTCTTATTTTTAAGTCAAAAGAGTTCTTTATATATCCTTAATACAAGTCCCTTACCATATACATGATCTGTAAATATTTTCTCCCTTTCTGTGGGTTTCTTTCTTTTTACTTTCTTGATGTTATTCTTTGAAACACAATCATTTTTAATTTTTTTTTTAAATTTTTTTTTTTTTTTATGATAGTCACAGAGAGAGAGAGAGAGGCAGAGACACAGGCAGAGGGAGAAGCAGGCTCCATGCACCGGGAGCCCGACGTGGGATTCGATCCCGGGTCTCCAGGATCGCGCCCTGGGCCAAAGGCAGGCGCCAAACCGCTGCGCCACCCAGGGATCCCAATCATTTTTAATTTTGATGAGGTCCGATTTATCTTTTTTTTTCCTCTGGTTGCTTGTGCTTTTGATGTCATATTTAAGAAACCATGCCCAACATTATAAATATTTATACCTATGTTATCCTCTAAGTGTTTTAAAACTCTTAGCTTTACATTTAGGTCTGTGTTCTATTTTGAGTTAATTTTTGTGTGTGGTGTGATGTAAGGAGTTTAACTTCATTCTTTTGCCTGTGACTGCAGTAGTCCCTCCTTATATTAGAGGTTTTGCTTTTTTATGGTTTCCTTTACTCATGGTCAATCATGGTCTGGAAAGCCAGACCTATCATCAGAATACCTTATGCTGTGTCACAATGTCTGTATCATTCACCTCACTTCATCTCATCACGTAGGCCGTTTTATCATCTCACATCATTACAAGAAGAAGGGTGAGTATAGAACAATAAAATTTTGAGAGAGAGAGAGCATATTTATATAACTTTCATTATAGTAGATCATTATAATTATTCCATTTTATTTTTGTTATTGTTCATCCCTTACTTACTTAATTTATAAATTATACTTTATCATACATATGTATATATAGGAAAAAACACATATAGGGCTCTGGGCTACCTGCAGTTTCAGGCATCCACTGAGGGTCTTGAAATGTATCTCCCATGGATAAGACTCCTGTATCTAGTCTCAGCATCATTTGTTGAAAAGGCTATTCTTTCTTTCTTTTTTTTTTAAGTTTTTTTTTAAATTTTTTATTTATTTATGATAGAGAGAGAGAGAGAGGCAGAGACATAGAGGGAGAAGCAGGCTCCATGTACCTGGAGCCCGACGTGGGATTCGATCCCGGGTCTCCAGGATTGTGCCCTGGGCCAAAGGCAGGCGCTAAACCGCTGCACCATCCAGGGATCCCGAAAAGGCTATTCTTTCTTAATTGAATTGTCACTGTTGTCAAAAAGTAATTTACCACAAATGTAAGGGTTTATTTCTGGATTCTGAATTATACTCCATTGGTCTATGTGTCTATCCTTAGGCCAGTACCACTCTGTTTTAATTACTGTAGCTTTGTAGTAAGTTTTGTAAATGGATGTAGGAGTCCTCCAACTTTGTTGTTGTTCTTCAAGATTATTTTGGCCATTCTGGGTGCCTTGCATTTCCCAAATTAATTTTAGGAGCATTTTGTCCATTTTTCCAAAATAGGCAGCTGAGATTTTGATAAGAATTGTTTTAAATCTGTAGATCACTTTGGGAGGTATTGCCGTTTTAACAATATTAAGTCTTCTAATCCAAGAACATGGGATATCTTCCTATTTATTTAGGCCTTTTTCGATTTATTTTAGTGATGTTTTGTAGCTTTTGTACATTGTGTCTTATTTTCCTGCACATTACTTACAGGGTGAAATAGCTATTATGAGGAAAAGAGTTTTCTTGCCTTAAAATATCTGACCAGATTTCATTAGGTTGAACTGTGTAATGATATTCCAGTGTTTTTGACCAACAGAAATAGCAGGTTCATATGCTTCAATCTAACACTTTCATTGCTTGACTATAGGCTAATGAGAATAGTTAATATATTAAGCTAAGCTACTTTGACAAAGAGACCTACAAATTCAGTGGCTTAAATAAGGTAAAAGTGTATTTCTTTTTCAAAGAGTAGTCCAGGCTTTGGGGTAGCTGTGCCCTGTGAGATCATTTAGAAACCCAGGTTCTTGGGGAGTCTGGGTGGCTCAGTCTGTTAAGCATCTGACTCTTGGTTTATGCTCAGGTCATGATTTCAGGGTTGTGAGATCGAGCCCTGCATTAGGCTCTGCACTCAATGTGGAGCCTGTGTAGGATTCTCTCTCTCTTCCTCTCCCTCTGCACACTCACTCATTCTCTCTCTCTCTCTCTCTCTCTCTCTCTCTCACTCACTCACTCACTCAAGATAGAGAAAAAGAAACCCAGGTTCTTTCCGGGTCTCTCAGTACATTGTTCTTGTCTGAATGGTTACATCTGAATGACTGTTACTTCAGCATTATATTATGCAGAAGGGAAGAAAAAGAGTTTATCCATGGCAAGTAGCATGTATTTAATTTGGAGACAACCCAGAAGTTGTGCACATCTCTTACTGTACACACCCCACTGCATGCTCTTGGTGATGTGGACACACCTAGCTCCAAAGAAGAAAGACAAATGTAGGCTCTAGCTGGATAACTATGTATCCAGCTAAAACTCTTAGTATGGAAAAAGGGCTCAAGCATGCCTAGGAAGTTGGAAAAAACTCAGTCCCAAATTGACTTATAATTAATTAATTGATTGATTTAGGAAATGTTTGTTGAATACTAACTCTGTGCCAGGTACTAGGCTGAGCCTGTGTCCATCTCCCACCCCTGCTGCAACTCCTCGGGGACTGGGGCCTCTGGGCCTCTGCTTTTTCTGGGCTCCCAAGGCCAGCTGAATTTGTCTTACTGCTTTTTGAGTGTAGTTCTCTGGGCCTTTTCCACATGCTGTGATGGAAGATAAGATGGTAAGGCCCAGATCTTCAACTTCATACGTTTCCTAATCTGCTTGGATTTATAGTTGACAAAACTTTTCCCTTTGGTTGTGCTGTGTAGGGAACACAGTGGTTAGTGGTCTAATGACTTCTTGCCTGGTATGTGGAGATGAAGTGGAGGCATTTTAAGTTTGTAAAATTATAGAAGTAAAATATGTTCACCATAGAAAAAATTAGAAAATATGGATAAACAAAAAGGAAAAAAAAAAGGGAAAAAGAAATCACCCATTACCCACTTCTAAAGATAACTTCTATTAATATTTTGGTGCATTTATTTCTGTTCATCCCTTAAAATGGGATCATTCTGTCTCATAAGCTGCTTTTGGAATATAATATAGCATGTGCATATTACTATATTGATAAATTATTGTGTCAATATATTCATGTATGTATTATATATATTAGTAAATAGATCATCATTTCGAATGAGGTCTAGTTAACAAGAAAAAGAGTTTTATGTTACTTTACAATTTACAGAGTGTTTTCTCATGTGGTAGTTCAACTGTCTTTGCCGAAGATTTTTTTTTTAAGATTTATTTATTTATTTTAGAGAGAAAGTGCGGGGAGAAGAAGCAGAGGAAGAAGGAGATAGAGTCTTAAGCAGACTGCATGCTGAGCATGGGGCTCCATCTCAGGAACCAAAATGAAGAGTCAGATGTTCAACCCACCGTGCCACTCAGGCGCCCCTTTGCCAAAGATTATTAAACAGTCAGTGTGCCTTTGGTCAGGCTGCTATCCACTTTGATGCTTTTCCTCACTTTGAAAACATAGAACACCTCTTTCCAACCTGTGACCCCACCAAATGGTGGAAAGGATTTTCATATCCCTGGAGGTGGTTAATTATTGACACAGGGTATGCCCCAGGGTTCAGGGCGAGGTTGCAAGGACTCCTGGGAAATCACTGACAGCACTGTGGGAGGTGGTGGCCCTCTGTGGGGAGGGGGGGTGGGTCCTAAGGCAGAATTTCAGCTGAGCTCGTGCTTCCAGGCTGCTTGTACATGGTCTTGAAAGGGCCTCTTGACCTTCTCTCAACCCTGGGAGGGCATCAGAGTGGACCAAACCCGTGGTAAATCACGTGGACTTCTTCTGCCCACCTCTCCCTGAGGCGCAGACCCATCCAACACGTAATTCTTTATTTCCTTTCTTGGACTGTATTCCTGCCAAAGGAATGCCAGGGATTCATTTATATTACCACCTTCGGTTACAGAAATAAAGAGGAACATTGGCAGAGGAAAACTAACTGGTTCACTCGTTCCCAGAAAGCCTCCTTGCCTGAATGCTGGCGTCCCTCAGCAAGGCTCTCAGCCGACACTGTGGACTTTCCCTGAAGCCCACCAGAGGCATTCCTGTTTCAGGCTCTTCCCAAGGGGAAACACACAGTGATGGTCACTAACCCTACATGGAAGCTTCTGGAGAAGTAGTGGTCATGTTATTTATCCCTTGCCATTATTCTGTGAGGTAGAAGTGCTGTCTTTGTTGTGTAGGTGAAGAAAGCAGAGGAGCTTCCTTATGCAGAGATGTACCACCATAAGTGGTAAAGCAGACATTTAATTCAAGTCTGTCTGAATCTTTCTTGAGCAGCATTTGACCTGGTTCTCTTAGTTGTGGGGCTTTTCAGATGGAATGAAATGCAGATGAACCAGAAGCCAGCCAGGTGGGAGCAGAGCTGCCCTCCTTGAAACTGAGAGGGGTGGGCTCCCTGACTCCTCCCTCTTCCAGGGCCTGAGACATCTCTGTAGACACCATCAGCCGAGCAGATGCAAGGACACAAACAGGACACCTGTTTAGATACTTGAAACATTCTACTGTCTTTCCAGGTAGTTAGGGTGTAGACACCAGTCATCTTCACATAGGTGGAAGAGAGGTCTTTGGGACCTTGGGTTTTTGTGGCCAGAGTGGAGGTTGGTAGTAATGCCAGGAGCAGACAACTGAAAATGAGAGTCCTGGGGGTACATCTGTAGGAATCTTCTGGGATGCCCTGGTGCATTGGTTGGCACCAGGCTCTTCTTTGGAGCCATGCCAGGCCACTTGGGAGTCTTTGAGGGCAAGGCATACCTCATACCTGCTGACTCCTGTCTCTAGATCCCTGCATCCCTTTACCTAGCAGGCAGGGTTTAGCTGTCTCCTGCCTTCATCCTGGTCTGGTGTAGGTGGCCAGGAGCCCATCCTGGTCTCTTTGTACACTTATGGTATCTGTGGTGTGACTCATCTCTGTATTCTAATTGACCTCTTTTCTATTCCTCTCACTAGTCTCTTCATGGACAAGATCTTATCCTGTATCCCAGTGCCCAGCATTGAGCTTGATGCATAGTAAATTTTTAGTAGATGTGTAAAATGAATGAATAATGAATAATGAATGGCGATGCATTTGAATTTGATCTTGAAAGACGATTGGAGTTTACCAAGCAGAGTAATGATAGAAGGGGATTCTAGAGAGAAGGAATTGAGACCTGGACCATGGTGGTTCAGGGTCCACCATGACTTATTCCATGTATGCCCCTAAATATATGCTGATGCTAAACTTAGCTGAAACTTTCTTTCATCATCTGCAAAATGGTGATAATATTTATCTTGCAGGTTTATGGTAGGGTTTTAAGATCATGTTTATAAGTGTCTTAGCACCTTGTGCATACAAAGCAGCATGATGAAATAGATACTGGGCTTACTTTTTTTTTTAAATTAATTTCTGTGCCTAACATGGTACTCAAACTCATGACCCCGAGATTAAGAGTTTGATGTTTCACCAACTGAGCCATGTTTTTTAAAATAGCATGACTTGGTTTGTTGTAAGCCACTGATGAGTATTTTTAAAAAGTCGAGGTTTGTGTTGAAAAAATAATGAGAGGGACTCTTCTGACTGTTCATGACTTTATGGCTGCTTATCCTGGGATACTCTTATTCCTGGAAGGATTGAACATGACATGATTTTGCCTTATTCTGATTGTGAATTCATAGAATAATTATTCTAAGCTTTGTGCTCCATTCTCTGACCCACAGGACATGTGAAAGGAAATTCTTCATGTGGATTTGAAAGTTGGGAGGAAACTTAGGTCCTCACAGCTGACATACTGCTCTGCTCTTCCCATGTAGGCAACCCTTGTATGACTTGCCCCTCTGAATTAGGCAGAGGTCTCTGTTAACCAACCAGCAGCAGGAATCTATCCAAACTAGTGAGCATTTAAAGAAACCTGTTACAGGATCAAAACCTGTTTGTTATAGGTGGTCAGCTCTCTGCTTTTCAAAAGCTGAGAAAGTGTACCTGTGACTAACATGGAAATTTCCTTAAAACAGGAAAAAATGTATTCTTGGGAAGCCGCTCCTTCTTCCAGAGTATTATGTTAGCAATAACAACAACAGAATAGCTATGGCTGGCGAGCACTGATTTAAACCCTTAGAGTAGCTCAGTGAATTTCATGGCATCCTTGTGAGACTGGTGGTGTTATTTGCACTTTATAGATGAGGAATTTGAGGAACAAGACTTTGAAACTAAATGTGCCTGACTCCAGAGCTTTTGCTTTTAGTGGATAGGCCTCATGGCTTCCTGTCCATTAGTGTGTCTACTTTGTTGGTCTCCCTCCATGCCAGAGAGAGTGTGGGTAGCTCAGAAAGGCCTCATGAGCTCTGTCATTAAGATCATCTGTGGCAATCTGAGATTGCTTCTGTCTTCTTTCTCTCCTCAGCTATGGAGTGCTGCTTTGGGAACTCTTGACTGGTGAGGTGCCCTTCCGAGGAATCGATGGCTTAGCCGTGGCTTATGGAGTGGCCATGAACAAGCTCGCCCTTCCCATTCCTTCTACATGCCCAGAACCTTTTGCTAAACTCATGGAAGGTAAGCGACCCCTGACTGGAACAAAACCAGAGAAAGTTTGCCTTCTTAGCAGCACTTGGGTAGATTTCAGACAGTTCTGCTGGGTTAGTTACAGAAAGAGGAGATGAAGTATTAGTCACTCAAGGAGGAATCCTGTGGGTGGTTGGAAGAGTTACTTTAGGTTGATGTCACCACCCTGCTACACTGATATCACAGACGCCCCTTCTGTCCATCTCCAGTGACTTGTAGAACTTAACTGAAATATTTTATTATTTAATACATAATGAGAAGATACAGCAGCTTTTATTTTCAGGACCTCTGAGTATATTACATATATAAATGAAGAACGTCCGAGAAGAAAGGAACTCTAGAAGACATCTGGTCAAACACTATAATTTCCTAAGTGAGAAATCCAACCTGAGAGAGGCAAAGTGCACTCTACTCGCTATTGTCTGAGCTGAGAATAAAGTTCACTTTTCCTGCCCAGTCCAGTCCAGTGCTTTTTATCCTTGCCTTCTCATCATCCCATTGAGGTGGGGAAGGCTGGCTCATTTATTTGTAGGAAGGTGAGATCCGGAGTCTAGTCACCTACTGTCACTTCTGGAATCGTGTAGGAACGTGATAAATCATGGTTGTCGAGCCTCATGCCAGCAAATTCTTTGGAGTTGCTTTTCTGATGCTAAATCAGTAGGCAGAGGCGGATGGGGGCAGAACTGATGCATTTTATTTCCACATTTTATTTCCACATTTTTTATGATTGGGAGGTTGGGCAATTTGCTTTACTTCCCAAGCCCTATGTACGGTTACCTAAATCCCAGTGTTTCTGTTCCTGGAGGGAAAAATAAGAGGCAGTTTTCTGGTAAAGGAGGTTATTTACTATTCTAAGTCTTACGCTTGTCTCTGTCCACTCATGTTTTCTTTCTATTCACTTGTTCCACGCAGACTGCTGGAATCCTGACCCTCATTCGCGACCATCTTTCACAAATATCCTGGACCAGCTAACTACCATAGAGGAGTCTGGCTTCTTTGAGATGCCCAAGGACTCCTTCCACTGCCTGCAGGATGACTGGAAACATGAGATTCAGGAGATGTTTGACCAACTCAGGGCCAAAGAGAAGGTAAACAAAACAAGAAAAGGATGTGAGTTGAATCACTGGGCCTTCCCCCCTGGGGCCTCTGGACAGAGTCTGACACAACCATCTCCCTGCTTATTTTGAGGTAACAGAGTAGGTTTTCTTCCCGACTTTACATGGAAGGTGTTCTCCAGGCCTCAGGTGTGACCAGAAGTAGTAGAGACTTTATCTTTCTTTCTGGGATTTGGCAGGACCAAGTAGGGGTGTCATGAGTCCAGAGTTCTCCATACAGATTATCTACATGGTCCAAGCCAGAGGAAGAGCACCACTGGGCAGGTACCAGTAGAAAATAGGAGAGGGTTCTAGAAATGTTTCTTGGTTCTGTCATGGACTTCCAGAGTGGGGGTTAATGTCCTTTTTATCCAGGAGTCTTATGGCCCCTGCCACCAGCATGTAGGAGAGGTCTTACTGTCTTTCTCATCTCAGGACAAAGGGTCAGTGACTTTTCTAACATACTGGGTCATGGCCAGTATGTGGAGGAACAGAATCTTCAGCCTGGGTCTTCTGATTCCACAACCATCTTCTCTCCAATATCATTGTTTGCCTAAATAAATGGCTTAAAAATCGTTTCTAGAGCTGATTTGAAGAATTAACCTATTTTTATGCCACATAGCAGTCCTAAACCTTTTATGCCACATAGCAGTCCTAATCCTGGTGCTATTTGGCAAGTCAGTGGCGTTCTGCAGGAGATTGGAGTGAGCTTACGACAAATCTTTTAGGACCTGGAGGGGAGGGGACTGGTACTTACCATTGGGCAGAATGATTAAAAAAGGGTATTCCTGGAGTTCCAGGCTCAGTCAGTTTAGCATCTGACTTTGGCTCAGGTCATGATCTCAGGGTCCTAGGATTGAGCCCCATGGTGGGCTCCACACTCAGCAAGGAGTCTGCTTGTTCCTCTCCCTCTGCCCCCTCCCTGCTAATGTGCATGTGCAGTAAGTAAGTAAGTAAGTAAGTAAATAAATAAATATCTTAAAAAAAAAAGAAGAAGAAGAAGAAGAAGAGAGTGTTCTTGTTACTAATGCAATTCCTACTAGAAGAAACCTAGAGTTGCTGGTCCTTTAGATTGTTGAATCACTTGATTCTTGGTTTTCTTTCTTTTGATCAACGAAATTATAAGGATACCTGACAGTAAGAAAAATGAAAGTTGGGTTTTGTCAGTAGGTAGTTACTAGGAAAAGCCAAATCCATTCTCATAATAGCTAACATTCATAGAGCATGTACTATGTGCCATGCTCTGTTATAGAGCAATTTATATGAATTTTTATATAATCTTACATAAGATAATTTTCTTATGTAATACAGCCATGTGATGTCAGTACTATTAACTCCATGTTACATGTGATTCCCATGTTAACTTTCCCCAGTTCATGATTCAGGCAGTTTGTTTCAGAGATCTTGCCCTCAACCGCTGTGCTATGATGCCTGTCCATTAGAAGACTCCTAGTTGGGCAAGTTGAACTTTCTCTCTGGGGAAAGTTCATTAAGTTCAAAGTCCTATTAAATCATTATATGCAAGTGATATGATTTGTGCACTAGGAAGCTAATCCCCAAATGGGTGTTTTACTAAGAAGGAGGCTCATCATGTTTGAGAGTCTTGCAGATACATAGTGCCATTGGCAAATACTCCATAAACATCCTGATTTCCCATATGATTCAGCTCATTCTCAGCTTGTCGAATTTATTGCTTCCAGGTACAGTGACAATGGATTTGTTCCTAGACTGGGGTCTGAGTTCCCTCAAAGGAAGGGGCTATAATGCAAACTTTCCCTAGATAAGAGCATGCAGGAGAGGAAGACTTAGAAAGTCTGAAATTAGCTTGAGCTCTTTAACTTCCCCACCTAGCAGCATAATCAACCAGCTAGGAATGATTTTTCTGAATCTTCCATGTTTTTGTTCTCCTAATGGTGAAAACAATGTAGTGGGACAAGGAAAGCCAAGGGAGTGTAGGGCATATAGCAGTGAATCTGTTTGGGGCTTATTTCATCAAAGAAGGAGAAGTTCAAAAGTTCAGGTTCATCTCTCAGACATGTATGATTAATCTGGGTTCCCATAAAGGATTGCATTTATAAAATTGACTTCTATCTCCTCCTCCTCCTTTCTCTTTCATTCATACATTGACACTGAGCACCCATCACTTATAAGACAATTTTTCTTTTCTTTTCTTGTTTTTTTAGAGAGGAGAGGGAGAGAGAGAATCCCAAGCAGGTTCCATAGTGCAGAACCTGTGGCAGGGCTCAATCTCACAACCCTGAGATTATGACCTGAGCCAAAACCAAGGGTCAGACACTTAACCAACTGAGGCACCAGGCACTCCCAAGACCATTTTCAAGGTGCCAATCCTTTTCTCACTTTTCCCCTTTCTATCACTTTTTATTATCAATTAGTTTTCTATTTTTTTTAAAGATTTTATTTATTTAGTCTTGAAATAGAGAGAGAGAGAGAAGCAGAGACACAGGCAGAGGGAGAAGCAGGCTCCATGAGAGAGCCCAATGTAGGACTCAATCCCGGGGCTTCAGGATCACACCCTGAGCCAAAGGCAGGTGCTAAACCACTGAGCCACCCGGGCTGCCCTCTAATTTTAAATTCTTATCAATTTTGATATTTTGGTACTCTCTTGCGAATGGAGGGCAAGTTGAATGAGAAGTTCCTAATATCAGAGTATTTTATTCCCCTCTTGTCTCTGTTGTCTTTTCTGTTCTCTACCCACTACTCAACTTCCCTAATATGTTCTTACATATTTTTTTCTAGCCCTAAGCTCACATTCTACAGTGTTTTGTTTCAGTCCAGAATGACTACTTTTTTCTTTTTTTTTTAAAGATTTTATTTATTTATTCATGAGAGACAGAGAGGCAGAGACACAGGCAGAGGGAGAAGCAGGCTCCATGCTGGGAACCCGACATGGGACTCAGTCCTGGGTCTCCAGGATCACACCCTGGGCTGAAGGCAGCGCTAAACCGCTAAGCCACCTGGGCTGCCCCAGAATGACTTCTTATGGTGGAGCATTCCATGCAGAAATTTTAAGTTTCTTTTAAAAAAAAATTATTCATTTATTCATGAGAGACAGAGAGAGAGAGGCAGAAACACAGGCAGAGGGAGAAGTAGGCTCCATGCAGGGAGCCCAAAGTGGGACTTGATCCTGGGTCTCCAGAATGACACCCTGGGCTGAAGGCGGCGCTAAACCACTGAGCCACCCAGACTGCCCAAATTTTAAGTTTCAACCATAGAAATGTTGCTCTGGCTACTTTATTGAAGAAATGCCTCACTTTTTAAAGTTTTAGTGCTTTATCTCACCCCACTTCTGTCTTACGCCCTGGGTAACCAGTGCTGATGGTTTAGATTCCAGATTTGACAACTGTATGTACATGTTCTGTTCTCCTTCCTATTTCCTGATTCCATATGCCTCCCCCCTCCCCGGCCTCATCTCAGGAACTCAGTGCTGGGTACATATATAAATTCATGCTGAAGGAAAAAGGGGAGGCAGGGAAGAGGTCCTGCCCATCTGATATAGCAGCAGTACTAGAGCAAGCACCTGGCAAAGACTTGGGGAAATGTTTTCTCTTCTCTTTGCTATGCTATCATGATCCTTCCAGAGCACGTGGTTTTCCTTCAATATGAGAATTCAAATCACATGCCTCAGTGGATTCTATTCACCAACTGAACAGAGGTTGAGAGGACATGCCGTACTACCTTTTGAATAATCACTTTGGAAATATATCTTTATTTGGATGTTAGGTGATAGCTGGAGGGCAAGTCATTTAGAGTGGGCACATTTTAAGCTAGATCTCATTAAGTTGGCTCTGGTTTGTTTTTTTTTTTAATTTATTTTTTTAAGTTGGCTCTGGTTTAAAAAACATCCTTTATATAATGGAAAAAATCAAAATAGAACCAAGTCTGTAAAATTTAAATAAACGATTATATTTTCTACCCAAACTCCCATTTTTTCCCATCACAGGCAGTTTTAATCCTTAATTAAAGAGCAACTAACCCATCAGCCCCTGTGTCCAGGGCCTCCATAGCTACGTCCTCAGGGTGGCTGTGCTGAGCCTGCCCCTGCCCAGCATCCAGGGTGGTCAGGTGTTCATTGAGCAACTGTGAGGCCCACACGTCTGCCTGGGACCGAGAGTATGGGGCATTATGGGAGACTGGCTCTCGGGGGCCCTTAGCTTCCTCGCCCGCCTGCGCTGAGCACCCACTCTTCCCTCCGATGCTCCTGCCCCTGCAGGAGCTCCGCACCTGGGAGGAGGAACTGACACGGGCCGCGCTCCAGCAGAAGACCCAGGAGGAGCTGCTGCGGCGCCGCGAGCAGGAGCTGGCTGAGCGGGAGATCGACATCCTGGAGCGAGAGCTCAACATCATCATCCACCAGCTGTGCCAGGAGAAGCCCCGGGTGAAGAAGCGCAAGGGCAAGTTCAGGAAGAGCCGGCTGAAGCTCAAGGATGGGAACCGCATCAGCCTCCCTTCCGGTCAGTGGCTGGGGACCTGCTGGGAGGTGGGAGCAGGGCAGGGTTGTGTGGCGGGGGACCTGGGGGGAATGGGTTCAAAGTGGGCCGTTCCATCCAGGGGAGACTGGCCTGTGGCAAAGCCTCCCCGCTCCAGGTGACCAAGCACAGAATGGGAAGGAACACAGAGTGGCGGCTGGTGGACCTGACAGGCCGGCACGGTCTTGAGCGCTGGTGGCGTGGTGACTCACACAGAGAACTCAGGGCGCTACAGAATAACAGAATAACTCATCTCTGGGTTTCTTTAAATAATTAGTTTTTGGTGTGCAGTTGAGTTTAGGATTCACTTGTAAGAATGTGATTTATACACAACCCTTCAGAAGCACATTGGGTGAATAAAGATACATTTGTAGTATGTTTCAGCCTTGGGAAAATGCAAAGTAATAGGAAACTCTGAATTAGAATCTTTGTGGGATGTCACGGGCCCATGGAGGGCAGTGAGTGCTCGAGTGTGTGTTTATTGTGTCCGAAGTCTATTGTGTCCGAAGTCCTGGGAAGTAAACTCAGTAGAAATGTAAGGAAACCAAGGGAAAAGAGTATCATAGGGACAACAGGATGTTTTTAAGCACTGGGATGGATGATGGCTTCAGTACAGACAGGGGAATTCATTCAGTAAAATTGAGCGAATGAATTTGTGGGACATGTTTACTAGTGTCCTTGTTGCACATTTTTCCTGGCCAGGCAACACAGTCTTTGAGCCCCTGTGGAGCATGTTGTGTGTGGTGGCATGCTGCTGTGCTCTGGGGAAGCCCAAAGGGAAACAGTAGCTGCCACATTAGGGAGATTGCGTCTCATTGGGAGACCTCGGTGCCAACACTCAGCTGTTTATTATACCTCTTAATAGTTGAGGACCCGGGAGCTTAGAGACCATAAATGCTTTTGGAAAACATCACAGTTTGGACTATTCGCCCCATCACGCTCACTTCCCAAGGTTCCCACCAAGGATTTGTCCTTGTTACTCTGCTCTGCCTGCCCTGAGCGAGAAGCATCTATCTCCCTACTTTAGTCACCGAGCATATCCAAATAGATTGTAAGAAACAGTCTTAAGTTGGATTTCCTAGAATAATCAGCAAGTCTCATGACCTTAAAAAAAAAAACTATTGTAAATCTGTAATTGCTACACCTACATACACGATAGATGAGCTTCACTCAGTGAATTTTCCTTCTCTTTATATGTTCATCTTGCTGTCCTGTCATCGTTGGGGAGAAAAAGAGGATTCTGAAAGAGAATATTTCCTAGGCGAACTTAGGAAACTGGGGCCTGTCCCTCAAGCTTACTAGGAAATGACCCTTTTCTCATGGGAATTGGATTATGGGAAAATTCTGACACATGCACGTATCTGTCTCTCCCCGAGCAGATTTCCAGCACAAGTTCACGATTCAGGCCTCCCCCACCATGGATAAAAGGAAGAGTCTCATCAACAGCCGCTCCAGTCCTCCTGCGAGCCCCACCATCATTCCTCGCCTTCGAGCCATCCAGTGTGAGACTGTTTCCCAAATTACTTGGGGCCAGAACACACCAGGGGCATCTGTCCCCTGCTCTGTCCAGCCACCGACTGGCCCAGGCTTGCTCCATCCATAACTACTGCCACCTCTCCTCGACAATGTGTATATACATGCACATATGTACGCAAACCCTTAGCCCTCCTCCTTGTCTCTCTCCCCATGAGCTTTGTACTACCGCCTCCTCTACTTTCTACTCTTAGTTACCAGCAGAGGGGATTGTGGGTATTGACAGGATCTTATGTCACCTACAAAGCAATATGGAAACTGGTGTGCGATGTCGATGCCCTGGTGCCTGGCCTGGGTTGGTTGGTACCCTGGCCTGGGGACCTTGTATGCTCTCTGCCATATTTGGGGCATCATTGTTTTTTTCTTTTGTTCCTGCTTCCCAGGGAAGGGTGTTTTCAAAGTGTAGGTCCTAAGGAAACTTGATAAATACTTTGTGGGAGGCCAAGTCTGGACCAATTTTATTTTTACCACAGTGTTTATTAAAAAGAATTTACATACACACACGTGTATGTGTGTGTGTGTGTGTGTGTGTGTGTGAATGAATTTCTCTAACTTAGAGAGATTTTATTTGAATACAGAAACTGGCTATCCTAGAAAAGTCCATTCATATCAGTGGATTCCCACTTCTCATGTGGCCGCAGTTGGCTGAAAGCAATGGCAGCCTCCATATGCTCTGTATTTTCCCTCAGTCCCCTCAGCTCCCTGATTTTTGGTGTCTGGAACCATCTGCTCATTCACGAAGTAAGGATAGCCTCTGAAGCATTTGGTTTCAATGTTTGTTGTAAGGTAGCAATGTCAGAAGGATGTTCTTCCTCTCTTACCTGTTATATTTCTCTAGGCCTGTTCCTTCCCCTTCTCCTCCTACTCCTGACTTCCCTCTCCATAGTCTTTTTTTTTTTAATTTTTTTAATTTATTTATGATAGTCACAGAGAGAGAGAGAGAGAGAGGCAGAGACAGGCAGAGGGAGAAGCAGGCTCCATGCACCGGGAGCCCGACGTGAGATTCGATCCCGGGTCTCCAGGATCGCGCCCTGGGCCAAAGGCAGGCGCCAAACCGCTGAGCCACCCAGGGATCCCCCCTCTCCATAGTCTTGAGCTCCTCATTGTCTTCCTTTCTCACCAAAATTCCTGTCTGCACTTCCAAGTCTCCATTACCTAACCCTTATCTTTTTTTTCTCCGACCTACCTCCTTACCTACCCACCCCCAATCCAATTCCACCCAACAAAACGAATTCCTTAAGTCAGGTGTGTTTGGAACTTTGGATGTCTGGCTGGCCTAAGCTCCAGCTTTGCACTGGTCTTATGAGACTCTGAGAGGTTTTTCCGTGTTTGGTACTTTGAGAGTGCTAAGTGATTGGTGGCTGAGGACTTGAAGGCTCCACTTGGGCACAGAGTTTTTGAGGAGGCATGACTTCTTCCCTGCAACTCCATATGTGTGTGTCTATGTCTGTCTGATGAGGTGGAGGCTAGTTTTGGGGGGACTCTGTCTATTTTCCAGATCCCATCCAACTTTTGTTATTCACAGTGACACCAGGTGAAAGCAGCAAAACCTGGGGCCGGAGCTCAGTCATCCCGAAAGAGGAAGGGGAGGAGGAGGAGAAGAGGGCCCCCAAGAAGAAAGGACGGACGTGGGGGCCAAGTACACTTGGTCAGAAGGAGCTTGCCTCAGGCGATGAAGGGTAAGAGCCAGAATGGGGGAGATTCTTTCCACATAAAGATGGGTATACGCCTTTAAAACTACGATGTGACATCCTTTTCTTCTGTGGTGTGTTTCATTGCTTTCTGAGAAATGACAGACTTCTTGATCTTTGCAACAGTTTTCCAGTCCTCATTCCCTGGAACCTTCTCCAACAAGGCTCAGCATACTTTTTCTATAAAGGTCCAGATAACAAATATTTTAGGCTTTCGGGTCATATTATCTCTTGCAGCTCCTCCGCTCGAAAAGCAGCCGTAGACTGCGGGCAATCCCTAAATGAAGAGAATGGCTATGTTCATTCAGTAAAACTCTGTAAACACAAGTGGTGGACAGGAGTTAGCCCCTCAGTTATAGTTTGCCAACCCCAAAGGCATCTGACCCAGAGTAGCAAGTAGACCAAACAGTAACCAATGTGAAGAGTTCTGCTGGGTGTTCTACTTAGACGTGGCTCTTCTGACACATGCACTCTGAGCAAAGAGAAGCAAGAGCAGGGGGTTCAGGACTCTCTTGACTTGGAAGCTTATCCCAAAGCAGGGGCAGATGATAATCTGGTAGTGAGTGTCCTCAGATGTAACCCAGGGCCACCAGGACTCCTTTTAGGCCTCTACCTCATAGCCACACTGAGTTGAGGTGTGAGCACCCCCTCTGGGCAAAGCACAAGACCCAGCTTTGTGTCTTAGATATGCTTGCATTATTCCTGTGGCTTACAAGTTAAATTTTTCTCAAGTCTCGGTTCTTTGGAGGCCAGTCCCTTGCAGTGTCATTAGTAGTGGCGATGGTCATCACTGACTGCAGACGCCCCGGGTGTGAATCCTGGCCCCACCAAGCCTCGCCATATGGACTTACGTCTTCTTGTCTATAAAATGGGGGCTCATATCAGCACCCACCCAGTGGAGTTGATGTGAGGATTAATTAAGTTCATCTTCAGGAAGCGCGTACGGGACTAACTGGCTCCTAGGAAGCGTGTGTACGTATCTGCTCCGATGCTTCTCATGCAGTCTCTGTTTCATACCGGAAGGTATGAGCGGAGTAGTTTATGATTCTTATTCTTGGTCTTAGAATCTAGAATCGTGTTTCTTGACTGTTCTAAGTGTGAAAGTAAGCATCAACCCCTCTCTCCCTTTTCAGTCATTATCCTGAACTTGTGTCTGAACCTGTACCTGGTTCTGGTTATTCCTTTGAATGCTAAGAAGATTTCCTGTCCAAAATCTGTTTTCTCATGTCAGATCTGAGCTGAGGTGAAAATTGGTGTGTAAAGGGTTGACTCTTTGAAGCCAGGCTTTAGAAATCACTAGATGCCTTGGAATATGGGGAAAAAAAGGAGGGAGGGAAGGAAGGAAAGAAGGCAGACAGAAAGGAAGGAAGACAGAAAGAGGAAAGAAAAAAAGAGAAAGGAAGGGAGAGAGAAAGAGGAAGGAAGGGAAAAGGAAGGAAGAGAGAGAGAGACAAAGAAAGAAAAGAACGAGAAAGAGAAAGAAAGAGAAATTGGGAAATTTAGATATGTAGGGCAAGCTGCCTAAGCTCTACAAGAGTTCAGTGACTGAGCCCTCTGGGGATGGTCAACTGCTCTGCTGTAGTGGGTTCTGTAGGGAAAAGAGCTCCTCAGTTTGAATTCCTCTGAGCCCTGGGGTGGGTCTGAGAAACTCAGTTTCCCTGAATCTCTTGATATTTCTGATGTTCGTATGATTCCTGATAGGACTGACCAGGTTGGCTGTGGATCCCAGTAGTTTCTATGGTTCTGTTTCATTTATAGATATTTTTTGTCTTGCTAGTAAATTAACTTTATTTCATGCTCCAGAATACTAACTTTGGCATTTTCTTCCCCCTTGCATAGATTTGTCCTCAAAACTGTTGAAGCAGTTCAAAACATGACTTAATTTTTTATGATTCTTAATTCCTATTGAAGAGATAAAGTATATTCTATTCATTCTCGAGTGAAGACCTGTTTAACATCAGAAAGTTTTGAGAATCTCTGTATAATATTTCTAATTTTAGTCACTCTCAATGGAAGAAAATATGTAACAACAAAAAGCCATATTGAATTAAATAATGTTAAGTGGATTTGGCATCTCCATCCTTTTAAAAAATAGCATATATCTTATAGGAAACATACTTGCTGGCTCGTAGACAGCTTGGGCATCTGTGGATCTACGCGGCCTCTGCAGTTATGCTGTGGCTGCTCAGGGACCTTTGTCCCACAGATGGGCAGGTCCTGGGCCTGCAGTAGCTCACGCAGGGCCACCTCATTAAGATTCCTTCATGGTATGGGCTTTGCTGACCAGGCAAGAGGAGGGCAGCTGGTGGCAGAGCTGGACCAGCATTGAGGGCTCTCATGTGGGAGAGACTGAGTTGGATGTGCCCACTGTTGGCTCCTACTGATTTTCTTTATCCATTGAAGATCCCCTCAGAGACGCGAGAAACCTAATGGTTTAAGTACCCCATCAGAATCTCCACATTTCCACCTGGGGTGAGTCTAATCTTCACCCTTCCATCAAATGTGTTTGTAATAAGTCTCCTTTCCATTTCCTTGTTCTCACAGCACTCCCTGTAGAATCGAGCCTCATTAGTGCCAAGGCTGTGCTGACTTGTTTTTTTCAAAGCAGTACCATTGTGCACCCTGGGAACTTCCTGTGTTGATCTGACATTCCCTTTCCTCATTTCCCTGACCACCCCTGTTGTTGGGATTCTCCTGGAACCCTTAGTTATAGGGAGACGATACAGGGGCTATTTATCCTTTGATCTGCAGCACTGGCTTTGATTTTGCTAATCTGGATTCCCATGAACCCAGAGCTAGAAGTGATAAGATTATCAGTTAGAAGTCCCAGGGTGTGGGTTCCAGTAGCATGCTTATCTCTGGCTGTGTATTTTGGTTGAACCACTGGTGCTGGAATGTACTTGAATTAGCTGGCATTTCCGATAGCACTTGAAACGGCGATCTGAAGTGAGAGGAAAAGTTGGTCCTTCTCTCTCCCTCAGGATGGACTGGGAAGAGTGGGCTTTGTTTGAATAGCTTTTTCTGGCCCTAAAATGAAAGCCACCTCTGATTATAATCCTGGTATTTCCAAGGCAACCATAACCCACAGATTCCTCAGTCTTCCCTCGTTATTGTCCATTAAAGAAAAGACCAGTGCTTCTGGGCCTCTGATTCCCCCATTTGTATGAGGGGATTGGGGGGGTACCCCATCAGGATCCTTAGAGTTACTGGCTTGGGGGTGTGAGCTCATCACAGGGATTTGAAAGCAAGCTCCTTGAATTTTCCTCTTCATTCCCAGACAAACCAAAGGCTCGAGTATAGCCTATGTACTCCCCACATAGGTCTGTCCCAAAGTGCACTGGGTTGATGCAGCTTTGTTGGCTGGTTTTTGTTTTCAAAAAGTGGCTTTGAAAGTTGGCTGAGCATGCCATGAGCTTAGAAGGAGTTGAGAAACGGTGTGACTGGAATAGCCTGGCCCATCTCCGCTAGCTTGTCTGCCCAGGGTTTGCCTGGCATTACAGGGTCCCTGATGTCAGCAGTGTGCTGTATACAGTGTCCTGGAATGATGACCTCTCCTGTAAGATGGGCTTGGGCAAGACCCTGGCCAGTGCTGGGCAGTCCTCATTTTTTTCCCCTCCTCTTGCCAGCCTGCCTGCTAGATCTTTCCACAGCTCCATAGCAGCATGTGAAGGGGTGGGTTCATGGCACTGCTTTTCTTTTCCTAGAGCATGTGCACTTCTGTTTATCATGCAAGGGGATTCAGTAATGTTCATTGCTGGTACCCCAAGGCTCTTGGGCTTTGGTAGAATTAAGCACACAGAGGGAGACATTTCCACAGCCCTGTGGAAGTAAGGGTAGAGTAAGGGAAGTGACCTGTTCTAACAGTTTCCTCATTTACTTCTATTCAGCCTCAAGTCCCTGGTAGATGGATACAAACAGTGGTCGTCCAGTGCCCCCAACCTGGGGAAGGGCCCCAGGAGTAGCCCAGCACTGCCGGGGTTCACCAGCCTTATGGAGATAGGTAAGCATTGCCTTTGTCCTGACTCTCTCCGTTCCCTTAGGGAAATTTTGGCCAAGATTCTGGGACTCTTTGAGGACCCCTACTACCACTTCATGGAGGTTGTCTCCTTTTTTACCCAACTCCCAGGCCCCCACCCTATTTCCTCTTTGGTCTCTCTACTCCCATTTTTTTTAACCTTCCCAAATCATAGTTTCTTCTTCCTGCTGCCATGGGGCCTGCCCTTGACCTCCTCTCACAGGGAGCCATTTATAGTCTACAGGGCAATGGGGACAGTGAAACCTTGAATCAGGCACTTCCCTTTGCTGGGGCTCTTTCCTTTGTATCTTAATGAGGGGAGTCTGCAAAACAGGACATGGTGGTAGAAGACACTATGTCTTTCTCTAAGGAAGCTTTCCACTTGCCTGTGATTGCTGAACGGGTAAGGTCTTCTCCAGGCTCTCTTTCAGCAAGCAAGTCCTCTTCTCTCTGAAGATTTCCAACATCATAGTAGGTCAGTTTATGGAGTAGATGCACCTTCACCTATGGAGGAGATTCCAGTCCATTGCAAGACACTGGTCCTGAGACCGGTCTCTAGGCCATCGTTCTAGAAATTCAAGGTCCCCTCCAATGTGATGGTACAAACAAATTAGGAATGTTTCTGTTCTACCCATTATTCCAGGACATTCACACTGTACCTCTTATGTTGAGGATCCCTATGAAAAAAGTAGAAAAGTAGCAGATTTCCTTTTCTGAAAACAGGACGAGAAGCTCTGGAATGGAGAGTGATTTCCTCATGTCGGTCACAGTTGAGTGTGGAGGAGGAAAGCCCTGTGGGTTCAATGCCCGATCCCCTATCCCACCCGTGAGACTATTTGACCTTGTGTTCCTGACAATCCACCAGGAGGCCCAGAGTTGAGGAAAAGGACGAGATTCTTACCTAGGTTGCTTCATCTCCATTTCCTGTTTCCCCTCCCTACCTCTCATCTTCACAGAGGATGAGGACAGCGAAGGCCCAAGGAGTGGGGATTGTCGTCTACAGCATTCACCCAACCAGTCCTACCTCTGTATCCCATTCCCTCGTGGAGAGGATGGGGAGGGCCCCTCCAGCGATGGAGTCCACGAGGAGCCCACCCCAGTCAACTCAGCCACCAGTACCCCTCAGCTGACGCCAACCAACAGCCTCAAGCGGGGCGGCACCCACCACCGCCGTTGTGAGGTGGCTCTGCTTGGCTGCGGGGCCGTTCTCGCAGCCACAGGCCTAGGGTTTGACCTGCTGGAAGCTGGCAAATGCCAGCTGCTTCCCCCGGAGGAGCCTGAGCCACCAGCCCGGGAGGAGAAGAAGAGGCGCGAGGGTCTTTTTCAGAGGGCCAGCCGTCCTCGTCGGAGCACCAGCCCCCCATCCCGGAAGCTCTTCAAGAAGGAGGAGCCCATGCTGTTGCTAGGAGACCCCTCTGCCTCCCTCACGCTGCTTTCTCTCTCCTCCATCTCTGAGTGCAACTCCACCCGCTCCCTGCTGCGTTCTGACAGCGACGAGATCGTGGTGTACGAGATGCCTGTCAGTCCGGTCGAGGCCCCGCCCCTGACCCCTTGCACCCACAACCCCCTGGTCAACGTCCGAGTGGAACGCTTCAAGCGAGACCCTAACCAGTCCCTGACCCCTACCCACGTCACCCTTACAGCCCCCACGCAGCCCAGCGGTCACCGGCGGACTCCCTCGGATGGGGCCCTCAAGCCAGCGGCTCTCCTAGCCAGCAGGAGCCCCTCCAGCAATGGGTTGAGCCCCAGCCCTGGAGCAGGTGGGTGCTGTCTTCCTCCTCTTTTCTCTTTCGTGCCCTTGTGCCTCCCCCTGGAGTGGCAATATCAGACTGGATGCCATTCATCCTCTGACTCGGCCCCCCCGGGAGGACGTGCTGCTATGTGGTTGGAGAGGTGGCCAGGCTGGCTGCCTTCTCTCTGTCCTGTGCCTCACGAGGCCTTTGCTGAGGAGTGAAGGAAGACAAGCAGGCAGGTTCTAGGAAGAATGGGACCCAGGGCGCCATGTTCAGGCCCTGGGTCTTACAGTACACGGTGCAAGTGCTTTCAGGGTACAGGAGGGGCAGGAGCCTGGCTTGGGCTGTTCCCTGAAGTGGAGACTGAACTTACTAGAAGGAATGCCATACTGCACCTAGGAGGGGTATTTGGTGCCACGTGGCTGGGCGCCCCTGCCTGTCATTGCAGTGTTAGTACACACATACTCACGGGCACGCTTCCTCTTGCGCATCCTGCCCTGCATCACTCATCCCTTACTCATGCCTGGCTCCCCGGACGTGGAGAGGTGTCCAGCTACAAGGCTGTGCCTGGGCATAGGCTTGCCTTCTCCATCTGACACGGAGCCACCTGGGCATACATGTCCTAGGTCTTTCCACCACCATCCCTTGCTCCCTAGAGACCTAAGTCTGACTCTGAAACCCCTCTCACCCAGTAGAAGACAACGAGATGGCAATTGAGATTTCAGTGATATTTGAGTATAAATGACATTGTATTTTTCCTTCCAGCGTGCTCTGCCCCTCTTTAGATTTTTGTTGTTGTCCTGAGATATGTGTCCTCTTTGGGAAGGGACCTTATAAGTCATCTTCAGATTTGTGATACTTAGATTTGTTCTTACCTTACATGTTTATTCCCTGAATAAACTGGGAATGAACAGATCCTTCCTTAAGTCGTGTCAGCGAACTTTCTTGGTAAAGGGCCAGATAGTAAATATTTTAGGCTTCGTGGGTCGTCTGGTCTCTATGGTAACTACTCCACACTGCTGCTCTAGTGGGAGAGCAGGCAATAGGTGTGGCTGTGTTACCATAAAACTTTATTTACAAAAAAAAAGAAAAAAACTTTATTTAAAAACACAGGGTGGCCTGTGGGTGGTAGTTGTGCCTTAAGTTTTTTTCACTATAGATGTGACCCCCATATGTCACATTATTATTTTATTATCAGATACAGTGCTCATGGCCTTCTAGTTCACTACCGTATCCCCAGTGCCTCCCAGCACACTGCACTGCACGTAGTAGGTGCTCATTAAATATTTGTCACTCAGTTTAGCCCAATGAACAGGGGTGTGGCAAATGTGGGGAGGGGGCAGCATATATCTGGCTCAGCAATGTGGTGCCGTCATCTGATGCCTCTCCCTTTGTCTCTTTGACCAGGAACGTTGAAAACCCCCAGCCCCAGCCGAGACCCAGGTGAATTCCCCCGTCTGCCTGACCCCAATGTGGTCTTTCCCCCAACCCCAAGGCGCTGGAACACACAGCAGGACTCCACCTTGGAGAGACCCAAGACCCTAGAGTTTCTGCCTCGGCCACGTCCCTCTGCCAACCGGCAACGGCTGGACCCTTGGTGGTTCGTGTCTCCCAGCCACGCCCGCAGCGCCTCCCCAGCCAACAGCTCCAGCACCGAAACGCCCAGCAACCTGGACTCGTGCTTTGCTAGCAGCAGCAGCACTGTGGAGGAACGGCCTGGACTTCCAGCCCTGCTCCCGTTCCAGGCAGGACCGCTGCCCCCTGCCGAGCGGACGCTTCTGGATCTGGACGCAGAAGGCCAGAGTCAGGACAGCACTGTTCCGCTGTGCAGAGCTGAACTGAACACACACAGGCCTGCCCCTTATGAGATTCAGCAAGAGTTCTGGTCCTAGCGTGAAAAGGGTCGGGGGCGGGCAAGGGGGAAAGCAGGAGGAGATAGGGGGAGCTGGCTGGCACAGCCCTTTCTCAGAGTTGGACCCCCTGAAATCCAGCCCTACTTCTTGCACTGATAATGCACTTTGAAGATGGGAGGGGTGGAAGCAGGACCGCTTCAGAGGGTCCCCTGCCCTGCAGGGCCTTTCCACCCATGTGCCCCGGAAGGGGCTGTGGCCACCGGCTCTGGCTGTGTAGGGGAGGGTGGGGTGCGTGCATGTCCCCCACCCTCCACAGTCTTCCTCGCCTTTAGGGTGACTCTGCAGGGTCACTCAGCCAAATCTGTCTGCTGCTCCCTCTCCTCAGCCCCCTGGGTAAGCCCAGAGCCTGTCCTGGAGTCCTTTCGTTAGCCCTGCGTTCAGCCTTCCCAAACACCAGTACTGGATGTCCCGTGATTGATTTTGCTCCTCTTCCACGTTTTTCCCCAACACCCATGAATCAGAATCCCATTCATGGGAGATAGGAGCTTTTCCGTGTCCTAAGCCCTTACATGCCAGCTGGAGGACAGAAGGCAAGGTGCCCCGGTGTGGGATGCATCTGTTGCTGGACCTGGCACATCCCTGCTTGCACTTCCAGGTGCCCCGCCCCCCCCTTTATTTATTTGAGCCTCATGGGGACCTGCCTCAGTGAGAGCTGGGGAGGGGGAGAAGGGGTTAGGAAAAACAGAGTCGAGTTGCAGCCAAGAGGGTAACAGAGTCTGTCCTGGTTCCTTTTGGAAACATGCAAATAAAGGCAGAAACCAGCACCCGTTGGTGGCACCCATCTCCTACCTGGGGTCTGGACACGGCCAGACCAGTTTCTGCTACCAACGTGCTCATCCCAGGGATCGTTTCTTGGGAGACTCACTTAACTGGTGCCAGTTCTGAAGCCAGAGACAAAGTCCCTGTGTTTGTCCATTTTGTTACCCGATCTTTATGTGTAAGGCCCTCCCCTTGGTCTTTCCCCTCCAATCCCTACAATTGGTGAACTTTGGGTTATGTATTTGGTTGCTAGAGACTTTGCACTGCACCAAAATAGCATACTGGTGGTGTTGGGGTGGGCGGCTCCCGGACACTGGGAGCTAGAACTGTGGGGATTTCTCAGCCAGGCCATCCATTGTGGGATGCCCTTGAGGCAAAACGGAGCCTTAGTGGTACCTGCCGCAAATGGATATGGTGAGGCGATGATGTTTGTAAGCCCCTGACATGTAAGGTTTGAGCCCTGGGCATTGCCTACTGACCATGGCCTCTTGCCTCTTGCCTCTGTGTGCAGGTGGCCCCTGATGCTGGGCTCTGGACCCTCAGCAGGGTAGGAAAGAGAGCAGAGGCCAATCCTGAGTTTTCTGGAATTTGTTTCTTTAACTTGAATTTTGAATTGCTTCTGGAGCTTTCTCCTGTGTACCTTCACTCTTCCCCTTACCCTGAGGCCTCCTCGGTCTTTGTGTGGGACACACATAAACTTGATTGGGAGCAGAGCCTTAGGTCATGCTCCTCTAGCCTACAAACTCTCCAAATGTTGCTTCAGTGTCCTGTATTGTGGAGTATTTCCCTGGGGATGTTGTAGGACCGCTTGCAGGCTCCCTGTGTTTGCTGCCTGGATGCTGGAATGGGGAGAGCAATAGAGCTGGCTCCGGTGATACGTATGGTCACTGCTCACTCTCTCTCTCTCTCTCTCTCTCTCACTCTCTCTCTCTCTCTCTCTGTAACTGATAAAGTCCCAACCTGGGAATGAATAAAGGGGTGACCTTGGTTTTCAATTGCTCCTTGTTTTATGAGCTCACTGGCACTTTGGTTCAAGCATCCCCTCGCCCATCTTGGGTGGGAGGCACTCTTAGTTTGTCGTTGCCTGGGACTTTGCGGTTGTGTCTCATCTCTCCTTTGCTTTGTTCAGTGAAGACTGTAAGAGATGATTTTTGCCTTCATCCCCTCACCCCTTGGCTAGAAGGGGAAACAATGTGAATCCTATCCACAGTTCCAGCCAACCAAGTGACTCCCTTTCACTCTTGATGGGGAGAAGGCCGCAGATTGTCTGTTCTGTGCCCTTCCCTGGCCTCTCCATAGCCCCAGTTCCTAAGTCACTAACACATCTGAAAACCATTGGCTCCACTGAATGGCTCCACATTCAGCCCAATCCAAACTGTGCTGGCTCTGGACGGTGCTCTGTGCTCTGATGCAGTTGACCGTTTTCTACTTTTTGTTATTTTTTTAGGCTGCAGCCTTTTTTTTGGAAGCAGTAGTATAACTGTCGTAGTGTGTGCTGAATCGTGGCCACTTGGCATTGAGAGGTTGAACCCATTTCTTACTCTTCCATCCAGAGGGAAGACAAGGGAAGCGTGGGTCGGCTAAGGGTAAAATTGCACCTGCAAGAGGCAGAAGCGGGGTTAGTGAAGCTGCTTCTGTGAGCTTGCAGGAAAACAAGAGATCTTCCTCAGCTGCCCCAAACCCCGGCTCTGGTGGGCCCCTGCCTGCCACACTCTCTGCCTCTGTGAAGTGAGGCTTGGTTGGATAAGGATCCTGTATGGTAATGGCTTTGAGTTGCTTCCTAGGCACTTCTGCTCCCTGGTCTCTGTGGTCATGATCAGGAGCAAGCCTTGAAGCTGGGATCAGGTCCTACATTGGTGTCGGCCAGCATTTCTCTCCTGGTCTCTTCCCTCCTCTTCCCTTGAGAACACTGTCCCTTTGCTCTCGGCAGGTGTTCACTACCTGGAAGATACTGCTCTCTGCTCTTCCTCCTGGAACCTTCGTCTCCTTCTACTGATTCTAAACAGGATTATTCTCTGTTTACCCCCTTGGGGATCCAGGCCACTGCCAGGGACTGAGTGGATATCCCCATCATCCCCGTATGTTATTTCTAAGAGGCTTTGGTGGATGCTCTTCACTCCACATCCTTTAGAATCCTAAGGGTCTGGTAGTAATGATGAAGGTGGCAGTGATGATATCTTACAATTTGTCAACTCAGAATAGTGTGACCTTTACAAAATGGCATCATTGTCCTTCTGATATACTTGCTGGTGGAGAAAAGGAAATGCTTAAAGAGGAAGAAATTCAAGGGAAGAGAAATTGAAAAGCTGCTTGGACTGGCTGCTGAGGCAGGCACCAAGCTCTTGAGACCTGAACAGGATGGCCCTATTCCACCTTCTGCTTTGCTCTCTGGCCTCGGACTCCTCTTTTAGCTCCTCTCAGGTTTCTTTCCTGTAAAAGCAACCATTACCTGCTTCCCTGTCAAGGGCAACAGAGAACATGTATCAGAGCAGGTCAGTGAAGCACGCGGCTCCCTGCTGGCCGTTTGGATGAATTGCTGAATTAACAGTGTGGTTCTCACCACTTTTGCCTCTTAAGAGATTTGCCTACCGTTTCTTCCTTTGGTTTCTGGAAGAGTAGTGATTTGGGGTTGGCTTAGCAGGACTCATGGGGGCTGTGGTCAGGCACATGCATTTCTGCATTTATGTAGCACCTGGTGTTCATAAGCATCCTTTCCCCCACCTACCTTGTCAGGCTGGTCCTCACCACTACTGTCTTAGGAAGGAGGAACCAGGAGATGGGGAAGCGTGGAGGCGGCACCAGGATGACATTTTGGGGTCTCACATTTTTTAGGAGTCATTCCCAGAGTCTGCTTTGTTTAGAGACTGGAATCAGGCCAATTCCTGGAAGAATTTTGGTGAGAAGTTCTGCTGGCCCTTGAGACACGTGTCCTGGTGTGAGGTTCCTGACAAGGGCCCCTTTCCCTCAGACCACGGATGCTCAGGGACACCATAAGACACCCCAAGGGCACCTAGGTGTGGCTTGTGTCAACACTCTTGTTCTTCAGTCCCCACACTGGAGGGCACCTCCCCACCCCCTGTCCCCCCACAAGGAGGGAGATACCTCCTGAGCATCAGTGACTCTTCAAGCTCGCTTTTAACAAAAGCACAGAACAGCAGACTCTGAATGCCGGACGGCTGTGAGTGGTACGTTTCAGGGAGCCTTGACCTCTTCCTCGTGAGTTCAAATCAAGCCTATGCTTTTGACCCAGGTATGTGAGGGCCCACCTTCAGGCAGGTTAGAAACACTCCATTGCCTCTTGAAGGATCTGGGGGAAGCAGCAGATGTTGCCCTTTCTGAGTGCCAGGCTTTTCCTGAAAGTTTTGCCAGAGACTGTGGACCTGGGTCAGAGGTGAGAGCAGCTTGAAGCACATTGTGACCATAAGCAACCATGGTGGTGGGAGTGGCAGGAAAGTGGTGACCTGAGCTGCCTACGTACTAGTTGTGTGAAGTTACAAATGTTTCTTCCCCTCTCTGAACCTCTGAGCCCAACCGGGAACTGAGGATGCTATCTTCCCTACCTGAAGTACGAAGCCCTTTAACTTTAAAATGTATGATGATCCTGGAACCCAAGGTCCAACACTGATGAGCCTCACCTTGCTAGATGGCTTCCCTTTGTGGAGAAAAGTGTGTGTGTGTGTGTGTGTGTGTGTGTGTGTGTGTGTGTGTGTGTGTGTGTGGTTGTTAAGTCAAAACCAGTCGAATATTGGCAGTTTCCTGTGGTTCAACCTACAAGGCCACCTGCCTCTCTCCTTGACTTCAGGCATGAGGATGACTTCTTGTCAAGCTGCATTTATTCCTAGGAACACATTCCCAATGCTCTCTTCTTTCAGACAAACCATTGCTTTCTTAGATTAGGAATCCTAATTAGTGAAAATCCACATTAGAAAGGAAAACCCACTGCTGCTTCTGGGAGTCCTCAGGCCCTAGCACCTTCCTGGCTTCACCTGGACATTCGCCATCTCAAGCACTGGCGTTTGAAGGCAGGATGCAGAGACTGGAGTCCTGGCTAAGTAACAGGATTCAGGTGCCTAATTAACCTGACCCAGCTCTGGGCTCCTTCCTGGTTGGCTGTGCAGGCCAGGTGAGCCTCTCCTCAACTCCTTAGACTGTTAACTATTTTCCATTTATCCTGATGAGATACAGCACCCCCCTCCTTTGTTCGTTTCTGGTCTTGGGCCCTGGAAGCACCCTGGCCTCCCTAGGCTGCTCAGGGAGCCCTAGCATTCGTTGTTCTGAAGGTTTCCTTACTCTGGAGCCAGGAGGACTGGTCATCCTGATTCTTACTGCCTGTGGCTCCCCATGCAACCCCTGCCTGTAGCCTTGCCCTGGGTCTTTAGCTCACCACCGCAGCTGGGGTAGAGAAGAGCCATTGTATTGAGTTGCATGCCCTTGGCACCCATTTGGAGCAAAGAAGGGAGGTGATGAACTCGTCAACTTTCTCTAGTTTTCCTCACTGTCCATCCTAAACACACACACAGACACGCACGCCCGCTCGCTCACACACTCACATGCTTGCACACAGATTTAAACTATCTTCTGGAGGTTTAAGAAAAAAGGTTTTACTTGGTTTGCAGAAATGCTTGCTTTGGGATTTTTCTCCTTGTTAGAGCCTTTGAGTCCAGGTAAAGTGAAAGTTCACATATGTGTTCATTTTTTTTCTCTGTAATGAGCTACTGGTCTTTATCCCTAGGCCTTCCCTGCTCCAGTGTCTTGTCCATATGTCCTGACCCTGTGTCCTTGAATTCCCATTTTGCTTTGGGATTTAAGTTATTGTAATTTGTCAACAATATTTAAAAATAGAAAAGTCCTGAAGAAAACTTACCAGGTTCTTTTCTTTGGCTTTTTTTTTTTTTCAAGGTACTGTAAATTGTTAACTAGGGATGCCAAGCAGGCTTGGTTCAATGGCTAAACCTCTTACCGTATTACAGTGTAATGCTGATTCAGCCTGGTCCCACCACCAGAGCACACACAGACTTGAATAAAACTGTTACAACAATGACTTCTGGTTTGTTGAGTGCTTTGAAAGCATCCCCTTTCCCCTCTTTCTCATTAAACACAATGTCCAAGTAACTGGCTCTTTCTGGGGGATTTCCATATGTAGAGAAAAATAAAAACTATGGTGCAGGGCAGCCTGGGTGACAAGTGGTTTAGCGCCGCCTTCAGCCCAGGGTGTGACCCTGGAGCCCTGGGATCAAGTCCCACGTCAGGCTCCCTGCATGGAGCCTGCTTCTCCCTCTGCCTGTGTCTCTGCCTCTCTCTCTCTCTCTTTCTCATGAATGAATAAATAAATAAAATCTTAAAAAGAAAAAAACTGTGGTGCAGAAAAGGGAGGAGCCTCCCTTCAGTCCCTGGAGCCCCCAGCTGGACCACAGGGGCCCTTCTGGCCCATCGCACCAAGCGTCACCTGTCCAGATGGTCCCGTCTCTTCTCACAACTGACTTTTGCACAGGCTACAGATTTGGGCTTTCAGAACCCCCAGCAAGCCTGTGCTGTATTCTACTATCATCATCCACCCTGATGTTCCTGGTGAAGTTGTGAGTGGAGCTAAGAGGGCAAACACAAATGGAGTTGTACACTTGTAGACAAGATTTGCTGACTGTGAGGAGAATCTTAGGTTTCCGTGTAGTCTTGATGCTCTCAGTGGCACTAGCCAGCTGTGTGCCCTTGGGCAAGCCACTTCACTGCTCTGAACCTCTTCTGGAGCAAGTTGACCACCAAGCAGCCTTTGTGCCTTCACTTCTGGGAGTATATGTTAGATGGAGCTGAGGGTGAAAGCAGATGGGAAGACGCTTGTTGGAGGCTATTCTCCGTTCCTTAGTCTCCTATTTCATCATTCAGCTGCATGTGGAAGACGCCTTCTGAAACTTCTATATTGACACTCTCATGCTTTAATGCTGTGACTCTGTATCTCATGCCATATGGCTTAGCTTCATCCTCTGCAACCCAGGAGGGGTGACAAGTTCAGTTCTATGCTGGATGCTGAGACTGAGAAGAAAGATGACCTTTGGTTGAACTTCAAGGTGAGTTTGTCCAGGGGCCATGTAATCTTTAGAAAGCAGATTGCGCTAAGATGGAAAAATCCAAACTCCTTGCTAGAGAAGATGCCATGAAAGGTGCCATATGCCGTGTGCAGTCATGTGAATTGCTCCATGTTTCTGGAAGGCAGTTTGGCCGTGTGGCATTAATTCCATAACATGGGCTCAGAAATTGAATTCAGTAATAAACACTAGCTACAGTATGCCCAGCACTGTTAAGACTTGACCTATGTTATCTTATTCATAACATCTCAACATCTTTAAGAGCAGACCCCATTTTATCTCCATTATATATTGAGGCAAATGAGGATCAGAGTCAAATAATATGCCCAAGGCCACACAATTATGAAATGGTGGAGCTGGGATCTTTCTGATTCTAACATCTGCACTTGTATCACAAGATGAGTCAGATGAGGGATGTCTGGGTGGCTCAGTCAGTTAAGCCTCTGACTCTTGATTTTGGCTCAGGTTATGATCTTAGGGTCATGAGATCGAGCCCCACATTGGGCTCCCTGCTCAGTGAGGCGTCTGCTTGTCTCCCTCTCCTGCTCCTCCCGCCCCCCACTCTCTCTCTCTCTTAAATAAATCTTAAAAAATAAAGTGTTCCTTACTTTTGGAATTTTTAACTTTTTCTTACATTGAATATATGTTACTTCTACATTTGGCAAAAAAAAAAAAAAAAAGGTGAATCCAGTAGTTTGGGGTATTTTCCCATGATACCAGGTTCTCCTGCAGATGCTCCAGAAGCCTAGGCCACTTGCTTGAAGGCTGCTCCCTGCCCTGAGTAATGCAGCAAGGTGACTTCAGACCAGGGTCAGGATCAGGACAAGCTTCCAGGTCCTAATGGAATCTCCCCTGACCCCTTTTCTCATTTCTTCCTCCAGTTTGAGAGATGATGCTGAAAGGGTGAGTCATCTGCAGAATGCAAGCAGATCCTAGTGAAGAGACAGGAACAGAGGAAATTCTGGAAGGAAGTACCACGGAGGTCTCCTAGAGGGCACAGCTTGTTAAGAATATCGGGTCCTGGGCTGGCGCACAGTATGCTCTTACATTTGCAACACACCCACACAGCACACAGACCTCAGCACAAGGAGCTGGGCTGGGGTTGGGTACACCGCACCCTGTTTACTTGACTGTGGAATGTGCTTCATTCAAGGCTGGGACCCATGTGCTAATCCTCTGATCCCTGCAGTTCCCACCCAATCTAGTCTGACCAGCTCAAGTTGGAGAACCTGTTTTGGCAAAGGTGGGTGGAGTCAGGGGTTGTCTGCTGCTCAGCCCCGCTCCTCCTCTCAGACACTGGTCACATTGTGGCCACCCAATCAGGAGAGCCCCCTGCAGAGTCTCAAAGGCAGGCCCTGGAGGCTTCTTTGTGATCAAGGGAAAAGGGGGGGTTGGGACACCCCACTGTCTGTAGCAAGAGATCCGTATTCTTTAACATGGCTTTGAGGGTCCTTCACAATCTGGTCCCAGCCTAGCATAATTTCCCTGCCCCTAGCTCTTCCTCACCCTCAGACTGTACCCTTCCCTGTTTCCCATAAGATTTAATCTTCCAGGAACTAAGGCCTCCTGCTGGAGAGAGCATTACCTTCTTTTTGAGCAGATGCTCTGCTACCTACCCAGGTGTCTAGGCTGACTGTAACCTGATGAAGTGGTTGGATTTGGGGTGGGAGAGGCAAGAGAGCATTAGGCCAGGGATGGAGGGAAAGAGTAGAAAGAGAGACGGGACCCTACCCTCTAGAACACCACACTCTCCCTCGTGAGACAGAAAATGCTGGCATGCACTGCACACAGCAGGGCTCCTATGACAAAGGCAGTCCTGGGGGCCAAGGTCAGTGAGCAGTGACCTGTTAAAGAGGTGCCGACTCCCATCATGCTCTGTGCTTTACCCAACCTGGAAAGAGAAGAATCACCCTTCCGACCCATGCTGACTGAGGGCCTACTCTGGGTGGCGATTCAATGTGACAGGCAAATTCCAGTCCTGTTGGGGCCCAGACAGGTCGATGAGGGATGTGTTCTTGAGAAGATAGGATGTGGTAGGGGGCAGTGGTGGCTGGAGAGGCCTGCCCCATCTGAGGGAGTCCACCAAAAAAAAGAGTGCATAAACACAGCCCCCCTGTACTTTAAACTCTGAGAGTGGATGAATGAGACAGAAAAGGGCTGTTGCCTTTTAGGAATGTACCCTGTAGTGGAGAAAATCAGGTGAGGACACAAGAAGGGCACTGGGGGAGTACACATACACACAGGGTTTGTGGGGGTGGAGGGAGGAAGCGGGGTCTAAGCTGAGGCCAGAGAGGAGTAAGATTCGGCCCCTGGGTGGTGATGGTGGCGGGGATCCCAAGGATGATTCTTGCAGTCCCTGTGAAGGGACTTTTTATTCTCTGCCAGATTGCTTCTCTAGCATTCCTCACCTCACAAGGCACTTAGTTCTTGTAGCCTTGTCTTTATCATAAGTGTTGGGCTTAGGTAATAAACTTTAGCAGAGATGGGAGGTAGAGTGGGTGCTTCCAGCTGGGATCCCCTGAGCTGTTTAGTTGGCCCCAGCCTGAGGGGGACCGTGGATCTTTAAGGAGGCTTTCTGTGGAGAACCAGAAAAGGGTGTGGCAGTGGGGAATAACACATGGGGTGAAGGGTTTGGGGCACAGGGGGTCTTGACCCCCATCTCTCGGCAAGTGATATTAATGACAGGCTATAACAGCCCCTCCCTCCTTCCTCTGGCAGTGCATATTAAGAGGTAGAGCAACAATTTTCAAAGTCTATGGATTTTCAAGTCTATAGACCCCTGGGGGTCTGCAAGGTCAAAACTATTTTTCCAGTGATATTAACTGTTATCCTTTTGCTGTGTTGATACCTGCACCAGGAGTGCCAAACAGTGATGCATAAAACTCCTGGCACCTAAGCACGTGTCATGGCAGGAACGCCAAACTAGACTGTACTTGTACCCTTCACCACCACGCACTCACAAGAACGGAAATGCCAGTTTCACTGAACAATGTTCTTGATAATACAGGAAACATTATTAATTTATTTGCATCTTGATTCATGAGTACATATTTTTTAAATCCCATGTGATGAAATGTAAAGTTCACATAAGGGCCTTCTGCAGCAGATGGAAATCCCAGGGTTGTCTCGAGGGAAAGCACATATGTGATTGAGTTGCCAGCTGAACAAGTTGCCATTTTTTCACGGAACGCTGTTTTTACTCGAAAGATTGATTGTCAAGCAAACTATGGTTATTTGGGCTTGATGACTTGGCAGATACTTTCCCGAAAATGAATGAAGTGAGACTGTTACTTCAAGGAAAACAGACGACACTATTTGTTCCCAATGACAAAATTCAAGCTTTCAAGTGAAAAGTACGATTTTGGAAAACTTGAGTCTGTCATGAGCTTGACAGCTTCCCCACACTTAAAGCCTTTTCTGGTGAGATCAGTAGTGTAGTGATATTAATGAATGTGATTTTGATGTTCTATAATGAAATATGTCAACATTTGCAAGTTCTCCATAACTCATAAACTGATATTTTCCATAGGACAATGGCATAAAATCATGCATCAAAAATCTATTCAAAGTCCAAGATAGGGGCACCTTGGTGGCTGAGTGATTGAGCATCTGTCTTTGGCTCAGGTCATGATCCCAGGGTCCTGGGATCAAGTCCCACATCAGGCTCCCCACAGGGAGCCTGCTTCTCCCTCTGCCTATGTCTCCGTCTCTCTGTGTCTCTCATGAATAAATAAAATCTTTAAAAAATAAAATAAAATCCTTTGATGTATCTTGGACCTTTTTTTAAGATCAGAGGATTTTTTAAAAAAAGATTTTATTTATTTATTCATGAAAGACACAGAGAGAGAGATGGAGAGACATAGGCAGAGGGAGGAACAGTCTCCACACAAGGAGCCTGATGTGGGACTCGATCCCAGGTCTCCAGGACCAGGTCCTGGGCTGAAGGTGGGGCTAAACCGCT